ATGAGGGTCAAATTGACCCGCGAACATCACGAACGTAACAGTAATTTTGTTTGTATATGTCAAAACACATCAGCATGTTGAAACTTTGCATGCATGTTCATCATGATAAATGAGAAAAAGTCACAAAATATCAAGAAAAAAAACAAAGGTTAACCAGTATTTCCAACAACTTGAAAATCGAAACGGGTCAAATTGACCCGCAACATAACACAAGGGATATAGTGATGAAACGCGTTTGTCCGTTCAGGGCCACCGTAGAAACATGTGGATGTGAGCGGACCCGCGGTGTGTGGAGAAACGCCTCATTCTAAGCTAATAAAAACATGACGGTTTTTTTCTGTAAACAGATCCTCCTAAATATTACACACTGCACCTTTAAATCCCGGCAGCTTGGTTGCAATGAACTTTATCGTAAACAATTGGTACACTCTCAAAAATAAAGGTCCTAAAGGAGGTTTTTCGCAGTAATGCCATAGAGGAGCCATTTTGCTTCCCCACTTGTGTCCACTAAGCACTTCGATGTGTTTCACAGAGAGGAGGACACAGACGGTGAGACTGAAGGTCAAATCAAGTCACAATGTGAACGATTTCGAAGTAAAGAAACACATTTTATCAATGGTGAGTAGAAATGTAGTGTAGATAATAATATATAGTGACCCCAACATTATCTGGACACTTAAAAATGTGTAAATGTAGTTGCATTAGAGAACAGAATATCAAAGCAATATATGCGTGTGTTTGCTAACATTCGCTTTGTCTCATTTGCATTTTGTTGTTTTAGTCAGCAGGTGTTTAGTTTGCCTAAAAAAACATTTTGTCAACAATTAGTTTCCATATCAGTCTATGGCTTTCTTCCGTGGTATAAAATTTTTTAGATGCCCCCACCCACAAATGTAGTTCTTACAGCTTGTATGCTTTATGTTAAGCCTTCTGAAGTCATTTATTTGATTAAAATTGTTATTCACTGAATATTTTCCTATGAACTGTACATCTCAAATCCCAGAGCAGCTGATTTGAATGTGCGCATATTAAAATAGCTTGTATGCCATTTAAGAGCTACAGCTAGAAAATTAGTAAATAATGACAATTTTTGGTTTTTGGAGTGAAATACTAAAATGCTGTTTGTGTTCTTCAGATTGAGCAGATGCTGATGGAGAAGGGACTGACAGAAGATGTTAAACTGACATATAGAAACCAATCCGATGGGAATGTCTTCCAAAAGGACCATAATAAGATTAATGTCACTGAACAAACTGTTTTAAAAGTGAAGAAATAAATCTCAATCTCAATCTCAGTTTATTTATAAAGCACAATCAAAAACAACCAATGTGCAGTACAATGTTCTAAAACCAAAAACAATGAATAAAAATAAAACAAAACAACAACAAGGGACATCACAAATTATAGGCTACAGTGAAGAGATACGGTTTTAATTTTAATTTAAAAAACTTTATTTAAAAAACATGTAATGTTGGAGCAGTTCTAATATGAATCGGTAAACTGTTCCAAAGTTTAGGTGCGGCTATGGAAAAAGCTCGGTCACCCCTAGACTTTAAAGTATTATTACTGGTATATAAATCATTCAATGCGCTAGGACCTCAATATATTGCAGATATGCTCACTGAATATAAACCTAACAGATCACTCAGATCATTAGGATCACATCAGCTAGAAATACCAAGGGTTCACTCTAAGCAAGGAGAGTCTGCTTTTAGCTATCATGCCAGCCGTAGCTGGAACCAGCTTCCAGAAGAGATCAGATGTGCTCCTACAGTAGTCACATTCAAATCCAGACTCAAGACACTTCTGTTTAGCTATGCATTTACTGAATGAGCACTGTGCCACTGTCCGTCCGACTGTTTTTACTGTACTTTATTTTATTTTTTATTCTAAACTGTTTTAATTATTCTTATTTGTTTTTTAATTTCTTCTATGTAAAGCACTTTGAATTACCATTGTGTATGAAATGTGCTATATAAATAAACTTGCCTTGCCTTGCCTAGATTTTAACTTTTGACTTTGGAACAGTTAACAAACTCTGGTTGGCAGACCTAAGACTTCTCAATGGATGGTGCGGAACAACAAGTCTGAAAGGTAAAAGGTGGCGAGGTCATTTAAACATTAAAAAACAAGCAGAAGCAAAGTCAATTCTAGAGCGGACTGGGAGCCGATGTAAAACAGGAGTAATATGTTCGCGTTTGCAAACACCGCTTGCAGACGCGTTTTGGCCCATTTGTAATCTGTAATCTGTAATCAGTCCTTCGGATGAGACGTTAAACCGAGGCCCTGACTCTCTGTGGTCATTAAAAATCCCAGGATGTCTTTCGAAAGGGTAGGGGTGTAACCCCGGCATCCTGGCCAAATTTGCCCAGTGGCCTCTGTCCATCATGGCCTCCTAATCATCCCCATATATATATATATACACTGATTGGCTTCATCACTCTGTCTCCTCTCCACCAGTAAGCTGGTGTGTGGTGAGCGTTCTGGCGCACTATGGCTGCCGTCGCATCATCCAAGTGGATGCTGCACATTGGTGGTGGTTGAGGAGATTCCCCCTTCCATGTGAAGCGCTTTGAGTGCCTAGAAAAGCGCTATATAAATGTAATGAATTATTAATTAATCTAGATAAGGCCCATTCCCCCAGGGACGCGGGTCGTACCTGTCCACACTCAGTCTATGTCACCGCCAAGCAGCATTCCCCGCTCCCAGGTGTCAAAAGTATTCACATTCATTACTCAAGTAAAAGTGTAAAAGTACTGGTTTTAAAAAGTATAAAAGTAAAAGTAATGTAAGGAAAAAAATGCAATTAAGGACAAAAGCTTAGGCCGCGCCACAGGGGCCGATAGTGCACTACCCTACCTCCTCAAAACAACATTTTCCTAAGCCCATAATGACTATAATGTTATATTAAAATGTTAATGTTGAAAAATTTGTGATGCACTAGGCTACTTGTTATGCCCATAGAAAATGAATGCATTTTAGTACAATGCAAATACATTAAAGAACCATATGTGTGTACTACTGAGGATTAACGTGTGTTTCATGGAGCGGAAGAAATGATGACTAGTTGTCTATGTATTGTAATGGTGCAAAAAGTCAAACTTCAGAGGCATGTTATCAATAACCTTTATTGGAATATAAATGTACATAAGCTTAGCTGCGAATCTGTGAGGGCAACGGACAAGAAAATTGGTGTATCCAGGGCAGGCTTAGTAACAAACACCCTTGTATGGTTGTCTATATAGGCTACACTAAATATTAGTGCTGTCAAAATGAATGATTAATCCAAGTGATTAATCAAAAAATAAAAATAACTCATAATCCTGATTTAAACCTTCCTGGTATGTACTATGCTCAATTATATAGCATTCTCTCAAGGTTTGAAGTTTGGTTGTTGCGTTAAATCTTACCCAGATACAATAGTGCTATTTTCTGATTGGCTATTGTGTACCCCCTTTCTTTATTTTTCATTGGCTGATAAGTGGCAAGCTCGACTAAGAACTCCAGGGGATGTGGGCCTGGTTCCATAGTGAAAACGGCGCGGCCAGAGACATTTTGCGTGCTGCGCATGTTAAATATAAACAATTTTTCCGCGAGAGAAATACAAAAGACCGAAATGAGTGACTGTCGCGCTCAATGCGTGACACTTGAGAGCCCTGCTAATGAGTGTTTTTTTTTTGAACGATGACAAACCGGAATGAAAACAAGCCGAAATGAAATAGGAGTAACGAGGCTATTTTTAAAATGTAAGGAGTAGAAGTAAAAAGTCGGCTGAAAAATAATTACTCCAGTAAAGTATAGATACCCAAAATTTCTACTTAAGTGAGGTAACGAAGTATTTGTACTTCGTTACTTGACACCTCTGCCCGCTCCTGTGGCCGGCCAATCACTGGGTAGAAGTGACCTGGTTGTAAACTTCCTGAAGGCTCAACCTGCCTCACCAAGCCCTCCTGGGACCTATCAACGGTCCTCAGGGCCCTCAAGGGCCCCCGTTTGAGCCGCTGCGGTCGGCAGAACTAAGGCCGCTTTCGCTTAAGACCACACTTCTGCTAGCCTTAGCTTCAGTCTAGTGAGTGGGCGATTTACAAGCGCTCTCTGTCAGCGCTTCATGCCTTGAGTTTGGGCCTAACGACTCCAAGCCAAGGTCATCCTCAAGCCAAGGGACGACTACGTCCTTCTATACTCTGCGATGTATGCGTCAGCTGATTCAACAACAAATGACTTCTGGGTGTGTTTCACTCAGTCTTCATTGCATCTATTGTGTAATTGGATTTCATCTAGTTGTAATCTGCAAGCCACTGTCTGTAGGAGAAAATGGTTTAACGTCGTCCTAGACGTGAGCCGTAACATGCACCAAATGTCAGACAAAACTCAATGTTAATGGTGGAGCTTTATGATATAGGCCTATTTTGTAAGCAGTTAGTGGCTATTTTCTGTAAATGGCTTTAGTGGCTATTCGCTCTGCAAATTCATTTAAATTGCTTTAGCAAATTCAAAATGTAAATCAAAGTCTGTCTTTATACAAAACGATTTTGCATCTGAGACGACGGGTTTTTGCATAGGCCATATGTGATAACTTACAAATTGAGACTGAAGTAGGTCCTTCAGTCTGTCCGCTGCTGGTGATGGTGGTCGTGCTTATTTGAGGAAGCTCTCTGTGTTTTAAAACTGTTGTTTAAAGAAGTTTCGATTCTGAGAATCGAACCGGATCCTGGAAACGCACAAGCAGTTCTGCTGGACTTTGAAAGCGTTTTCTGGATGTAAGTTAAACTCTTTGGTCACTTTGAGAGGTGTTTATGGTTTTAATTAAATCTCTGTGATTGGCCTTTTGTGATTTTAACAATAGACCTTTATTTCCCATCATGCTGAGATTATAACATGAAGATCTCATTGAATTAAACACTGAGACAGAAATATTCGCTTTCACAGAGAAGAGTGAAAACTACAAGTAAACATGTTTCGACTAATCAAAGAGCAGTTTGAGAACTCTGGATTAAAACATGATGTTTAATACAAGCACTTGAGCAGTTTAATAAGTCGCCTTGTTTGTTTTTCTCACAGGTGTCTCATCATGAGGAACAGCTTACAGTGTCTGCTTTTCTCAGGTTAGTTTCTGGTTTTTGTAAATGTGTGTAAAGTCCAGGGGTCAGAAAGTAGAAGTCCTGAGATATGTTTATTCCACCCATGAACTCAGCCGGCTGATTTCACTCATTAGTTCTCTCTCCTGGCTGAAGAAGTCAAGTCATCTTCATTTATATAGCGCTTTTAAAAATGGAGATTGTTTCAAAGCAGCTTTACAGAGACAAACATACAATTTACGGTAACAGAGATTGTTTTGGCTTTATAGCGGTTCTTGAAAAATGTTATTTCCAGCTATAGTTAGTTTTGATTGATTCACTTCCAGCAAAATTATCATTTGTTATTACATTAGGGGCCACTAAGACGACGGCTTTCTCTCTAAACAGACTTTAAACGCGAACCTGTGACCGGATGGCGTTCACATGCGCATTAAAAATTGATTCTATAGTTATATTCGTTTGAATATATGTGCGCAGGTTTGTAATTTCCCTACAAACCATGCCTAAACAAACTACTTGTCTTGCCTATACATTTGATAAAGAATTTTGTTTTATTTTATCACTTCGGGGTACGCGAACCGGATTTTCAACAACGCTTTATCTGTAGAGTGGGAAAGGGATCCTCCATAGGGAGAGGATAGTTGACACTTCAGCACTGCATTGTCATCGGGTCCAGGCGAATCTCCTTCGTCAGATCTGGACACGGCCTGGATCCGGCAGGCTGCGGGAAAACCTCGGGATAAACAAAGACACTAATATTAGCGTAGATGCCATTCTTCTTATGATGTAACGAGTACATCAAGATTTAAGGGAAGTGTTCCCAGTTCCTGCTGACCTAATCTATGCAGCCTAACATTGAATTATAGAAGTCTATAATGTATTATGTGTATGCTAGGTCAAAGAGATGTGTTTTTAGTCTAGCTTTGAACTGACAGAGTGTGTCTGCTTCCCGGACAATGGTAGGAAGACTGTTCCAAAGTGTTGGTGCTAAATAGGAAAAGGATCTCCCGCCAGCAGTCGATTTAGATATTCTAGGTATTATCAACTGGCCGGAGTTTTGAGATCGCAATAGACGTGAAGGACTATAATGCGTTAAGAGCTCGCTCAAGTACTGGGAGCTAAACCATTTAGTGCTTTGTAAGTAATCAACAATATTTAAAAATGTATACGATGTTTAATAGGGAGCCAATGCAGTGTTGACAGAACCGGGCTAATATGGTCATATTTCCTGGTTCTGGTAAGAACTCGAGCTGCTGCGTTTTGAACTAGCTGTAGTTTGTTTATTAAGCGTGCAGGGCAACCACCCAGTAGAGCATTACAATATTCTAGCCTTGAGGTCATGAACGCATGAACTAATTGTTCTGCATTTGTTAATGAGAGCATATGTCGTAATTTAGATATATTTTTAAGATGGAAAAATGCGGTTTTACAGATACTAGACACGTGACTTTCAAATGAGAGATTGGTATCAAAGAGCATACCTAGGTTCCTAACCGACGACGAAGCCTTAACAGAGCAGCCATCAACTGTTAGACAGTATTCTGGGTTATTACGTGTGGAAGTTTTTTGTCCAATAATTAGAATTTCTGTTTTTTCAGAATTTAGTAGTAGGAAATTACTAGTCATCCAATTTTTTTTATCAGCTTTCCTCAGAACTGTGCTAATTAGCAAATCCAGGTGATAGGAACACAATACTGAGGAGGACTTTTACTTTCTGAACCTGGACTTTACATCTCTGGTTAGTTTCTCATTTAAAATGATTTTCCCATCCAAGTAGCAAAACAGGGAACGTTCTGGCAACGTTTTGAACAATCGTTCTTCCAGTAACCTCTATAAAATGTTTGTTCAATGTTATTTGGATCTTTAATAATGTTCTGAAAGTGTTAGCACAAACATAATTTGCACATCAAAAATTCATTTCTGAAACATTGTAGTTGAATGTTGGTTTAACATTTTTAAATTTGTAACTACTTGTTTTGTAATGTTCAGATAACATTCTAAAGTAACGTTCACTTAATGTTTGAAGAATGACACAATGGAATGTTCCCTTTAAATTTTAAATGTTTTAAACATTTAAAAAAACTTAACAGAAACATTATCATGACGCTTTGACATATTTTTGTTAGCTGAGGAAAGGGGTTGAAACAAATATTTTAATTATTTTAAGGCCCGTTCACACCAAGGACGATATCTCTTAAGATAACGATAAAGATATTAAAGAATAGCTACTTCTGCGGAGTGATCCGTGGTGAGGAGCAGAGAGTTCGCTCAGTGTTGCGCTAATCACTCCGCCCAAGTAGTGCTTCGCCTTCTGAGAATATAGTTCCCAGTATGTATACGGTTAAAAGATGGCTGTGTCTCATATGACCTTGTTATTTGTACACACTGTGACTATACAAATCACAACAATGTTATTGTGTCACTTATTGGGATTAGTATGCTAACTGGAGCCATTTACTTCCAGTCTTTGTGCTAAGCTAGGCTAGCGGTGGGTGCGTCAGATAGAGTTACGGCACGCACGGAGATGAAACGCGTATGTATGGACTTATCTAACTCTGGAGGATACAGTGAATAAGCCAAAGTCCCCAAAAGTCGGCGTGTTCCTTTAACGGCTGAATCATGTCCGCTGTCTTATAACCTGAATTTTCTTCTTTCTTCAGCTCTGTTGCACGTGACCTTCTCTCGGCTTCATGAGTTTGTCTATGTGTCCGAGGTCATGAACTGGAACAATGCGCAGAAGTACTGCAGACAGCATTACACGGATCTCGCCACCGTCGATGACCAGGAGGATCACGATCAGCTGCTGAAAACTGTGGGAATGGGACATGTTTGGCTTGGATTGGTTCGCACTACATATGGTGGACCCTACGGCTGGTCAGATCAGAGTAGCTCCACATTCACACGCTGGAAACCTGGAAAACCGGATGATCAATTGTGTGCTAAAGTTTTTGAGGGTGTTTGGTATGACAGCAGGTGTACAAACACTAATCCTTTTGCATGTTATTTTGGTGAGATATGATCTTAATATATGATTTTTTTTCTCCAGAATTTCATTTAGTTTAATGTGTTTTGCCTTACACATGCTTAAATTTAATTCAAATTCTAATTGTTTAAGCTAATACCTTTTGAATGGTTTTATTTTTTAATTTTGCTACTTTTGAATGTTCTCTAAACCTTCTGAAACGTTCCCATAATGTTTGCAAAATTCTAAAATGGAATGTTCTCTTAAAGTTTGCATAACCACAATTTTTAAACATTTAGAACATTCAAAAATAAAGTTTTTATAACTTAATGAGAACATATTCACAGCGGGGACATGAGATCTGCTGATCAAAACTCTGAAAATAATGATTAAACATTAAATGTTTATTTAGTGAGTGTTGAGCAAATCATATATACATTTATGTCTAACAGAGCAAGACATTTTATTTATGAATTCATTTGATTGATGAAGTTCTGCTGAATTATTGATTGTACGTTGTTCTTTATGACTGAATTTCTCATCAGTGTGTTCGTCCCACAGATCGGAAGAGACAGATTGTGAAACTGGAGGTGAAATCAACTCAAAATCTGAATGATCCGAAAGTGATGACAAATCTTTTAGCCCATGTGAGTTTCGCTCTGCTTACCACCCGTAATTCCACAGCAGAAATATCATTCAAAAGTCTGTTTGTGTTCTTCAGATGGAGCAGATCCTGAAGGAGAAGGGAGTGTCAGGAGAAGCTAAACTTTCATGGAGAACCCAATCCGATGGGAATGTCTTCCAGACGAAGGACCGGAAGAGTGACGCCACTAAACAGACTTGCGTTTCCTAATTTTACGGAAAATTGCTTCTTTTATTTTTTACAGTCGTTTTCCTTTCTTTTAAGTTGTAGTCAAAACTTAAAATTACAAACAATATCTGTAAAATTAACAACTCGGCTGTTATTTCAAATATTATTCCATTAATGACAAATTACAGTAATTCCTAATGTCCTAATTTTAAAATAGTGCAAAAATCCTTTTCAGAAATGTTTATTAAACGTTTTCATTTTACAGGTACCTGAATTATTACGATCAAACACCAACTGAACATGGATGTGTATCAATACTCTCTCATTTTAGCAGGTTTACAAAGTCTTTTGTTAATGGATGTTGTATTTGTGTTTCAGCTTTCATGTTATTGGTATGGATGTTTATTATATTGTTTCTGCATTTAATAAACTCTTGCAATAATCTCTATGATAAATTCACTCCACTTGATGTAATTGACATATTTGATAAATTCACTGACATAAAAAGTTGATATTATGTTGACATAAAAGGTTAATAATTTCACTTAATTAAAAATGTTTAATCTCATAATTCTTACTTAGTCATTATTAAATGCATATGACTTAATATGTTTTAAGATTTACCAAAGCATGATTTTTTTTTCTTTTGTGGCAGATATTGGCTTCCATAGGCAAACAGTTAAATATTAAACATAACCTATCTGGATAATTTTTGCCCTTACCTTAGCCCCATAATTCTATGTAGATATCAGAGAACAATTTAAAATATTGTATCAATGCATTATGGCACCTTCAAATAGAAAATACCCATGAAGTGGGAAATACAAGTTTTTATATTTAGACTAATCATTTTAATTGTACTCGCTTAACATAAACTACTTAAATAATCTGGAAACTCTCCGTAACTGCGAGTGTAACGGCGGCCAGCTAGTAGTTGCTGTCTTTAGCCTCCTTGTTAGAACGCCTGACTCTCATGCCGGAGACCCGGGTTCGAGGCCTGCTCGGAGCGGGTCGAGTGGGACCCGGGTGGAGGGGTTACATTGGTGCCGTGACCCGGATGGGAGTGAGGTTTAGGGGGGTGAGTGTAACGGAGGCCAGCTAGTAGTACCTCACTCCTCTGATCTCAAAAAGCTCACTAGCGACAGATGCTAGAGGCTGCAGTCTTTAGCCTCCTTGTTAGAGCGCCTGACTCTCATGCCGGAGACCCGGGTTCGAGGCCCGCTCGGAGCGGGTCGAGTGGGACCCGGGTCTAGGGGGTTACACATGCGGAACTTCATCAAGCCTGACTGACTGGCACCTGTTTAAAGCACCAGCTCAGCGGTTCACTCCGTTAGTTTTTATTGCTTATACTGCATTTTAGTAGTTGTTTTTCTACCGAATTCATCGTTTACCACGGCAAAAATAGAAAACTATTTAACGTTGCTTGAGGGTGTTTCTTATACAGCGGCTGTGGGCAGTGCTTAATTTGTAAAGTGGGAAGTCCCGGAGCGCAGAGGGGGGGTGGATCCGGCGACTCAAAACGGGGGTTGGAGGTAACGAAAAAAAAGAAGAAAAAAAGCTATGTAGCTTTTGACTAAAAAAAAAACTTAACAACACTGTGTGTGTATCAGGGCAATGTTTATTTTAATTTCAGAACATGCACTACATGGGTGCAAAATGTAAAAAAAAAAAAAACGTTTTCACAAGCAGCAAGGGGGTCGCACACCGGACGAGAAGCGCCGCGTTGCGTCTAGGACAACTCGAGGTATCGCACATCAGACGCACACTTTCTCAGTTTATGGCCAGCAATATTGTTATGTTTAAGGACATTATGGAATTAAGATAATGTCTGTATTATGTTATGATTGTACTGTACAATCGTTGCTAGTCTGCAGACTCTGAACACTTCACCTCAGAGTGTCCGTTAACTGAATGAATTGAGAATTTCACCTGAAAATCCGATAACATCAGCAATTTTCATTCAAGCAACTGATTTCTGTAAATGAATGTAAAACTAAATGTATATTGCATGCAGCACAGGGTGAAGTCAGACAGTTTTTAACAACGCCGAATGGCGCTGCCGGTGTGTGTACATAGAGAATAATGTGTTTTAATTTTAAAGACTTGGCGCTGCTCTTCTCGTCCGGTGTGTGACCCACTTTACCCTGAAAATTCACCTCAAAAACGCATCGAAACTTCAAACACAAGATTTTTGTGGAACTTCAATGGGGAATAAAGACTAACAATACAGATAACAACATTGAACCTTACACAAACAGTAATTATTAATTTGCCATAGTGACACAGGAGGTGCCGGATCCAATAAAAAAGGTTCCGGATCCAACGTCGGAGGTGCCAGAACATGTTCCGGCGTGTTCCGGCTCAAAATAAGCCCTGGCTGTGGGAGAGATGGTAAAGTTGATGTCTTTCTCTCTCCTGACTGCCGTTATCAATCTCTGAAAACTATTGTGGAGTTTTTCCCAGTGTTGGGGAAGCTACTTTGAAACTGTAGTTTGACAAGCTACAAGCTACTCGTAAGTTAAAGTAGTTAAACTACAGTCAAGCTACCCTTTTGGAAAAGTAGTTAGCTACACTACAAGTTACGATCAAAAAGTAGCTAGCTACATTGAAACTACTTTTGCTTTTTTTGAACAACATATATTATAAATAACTGTATAAGTGTCTGAGGAATGTTTTAAGTAAAATATTTAGTGTTTAAAACAATGCAATACAATTATGATTTTTATTGTTTTATTACACACAACACTCAAATATATCAGACTGTGTGTCAAAAGTGCAAAATTGCAACAAATACAACATTGCAAGAACAAAATACGGTATACATCCAACGTAAATTGCATGTATAGACTTTTTCTCAAAAATACAGATTGTGAGATGGTTGCATTTTGGCAAGAAAATACATTGAACAAGCGCTCACATGTGGCACTGACAATGCACGTTAAACTCGCTCACATGCAGTGTGGAGCTCGCAGAATTTATTGTGAAAGAAGAACCTGAATCACAAGCTGCTTGTGCGCACAGTTCGGTTCGCTCTGGATCCAGTCACAACAAATATATACACCAATTTAATTAGATCAAAGCATTTGTTGTGCGATAAAAAAAAAAACTAAGATTACATTTTTTGTTCAACTGACAAACACGATGACGCAAACTTTAGTGGTCTTTTATGTTCATTTTAAACTGGCGGACAGATCATGGCGGTTCAATGTAATTAAATCAGAAATAGAAATTTGATGTAACATAGAGAGAGCAACAAAGCAGGATAATTAATACATTTAAAGTGGCCATTAATCACCTGTATGTGCGTCCTTAAATTTTTGCTTGAGGTCTTCTGTACGTCAGTGAACCGTTAGCCGCACGATGCGTGATTAAACAACAGGTGGCGGTAATGGCAAAAAAAATAGTTTGTAATCTAACAAGAAGAAGAATATCCTTGCATCGCACTGATTCGCGCAGGCTCAACAACACGCAATGTAGCTTTTGCTCGCGCTACACTAGCCTGACTACGTCAGACTTCCTACTTCCGCTAATTTCATTTCGCTCCTGTAGTCAGTCTGAGATAGCAGCCTATCTTTCTGTTTTCCACCGGCCTGAAAACAGCCTGGCCAATCAACGAACAGAGGACGGGCTGAAAGCCGTGACGTAGTCGGTAAGCGCCGTGTTTAAGATTAGGTCAGGGAAATCGAAAACGACCGCTGATATGGAGACGCGGATGCAATTCGCTCTGTTGTGGAGAATATTCCCGGCATTAGCAAACTGAAGCCCGAACACGAAGAGTGTGTATTAAACATTTTGAATGGAGGTGATGTTGTGGCCCTACTCCCTTTGGGAAAAGTTTAATTTATCAACTATTACCGATCGTCAGCGAGAAACTGGGGACCCTGGGTCCACTTCTTTTCTCTATTTTTATTAATGATCTGCCTTTAATTTGTTCTAATTCCTCTGTTCAACTATATGCAGATGATACTGTCATTTATACGTCTAAATCACATTTATTGCAAATTCAAACTGCTCTTCAATTGGATTTTAGTATCTTACAGAAATGGTTGGTATCGAATAAACTATTGCTTAATAAAACTAAATCTTATACTATGGTCTTCGGTACAAAACATACTTTTAAAACAAAAACAAAATAATTTAATTATAACGTGTAATGACGGTACTTCTCTGAATGAGGTTGATAAAGTTAAATACTTGGGTTTATGGCTTGACTCTGAACTTACATTCAAATCTCACATTGACTACC